CCAAAACAGGTGGCAGGAGGGGACAGGGCCCCAGTGCTCAAAGCAGGTCAACGAGCAGGGCCTGGGTGGGGAACTGAGGTGGAAGTAGTTAAAACAACCTGGGGTCAGAGATGAGAGCTAGATGAGAGCAGAAATGGACTGAGAATGAAGGTTCTTAAAAACCTGAGTCAGGGCTCTGTAGAGAGGCTGGGCCCAGGGCTGGCCTACAGGTTGAGGCATGTGGGTGCGCCCTGGCGTGGGGACAACACTGCCAGGGGCGGAAGCCCAGCAGGGCCTGATAAAACTGGCATCCTAGATGAACATAATATACACAATAAATGTGTTCCAGACTTCTCTCCTATAATGCTTCTTAAGAGTGACATCTAGGGGCAAGTGCCTTTTAAGTTCACCCATCAAATTGCTTGCTTTGCATAGATGTGGATGTGAAGATGTTCCCCTGACGTCTTCAGCTTTATCTGATGTACAGTTGCTTAGTGCCTACTATGTGCAAAGACCATATTCAAAATGTTTGTTTATACAAGGTCAAGTTGTTTATGCTCCTTCAAAACTGTCCTACATTGAATGTATACTACAGGTATATACCACAGGTCTTATTCTCTTGGCACAGACCGCTTGTTGCTCTGATAGGAAAAAAATATATGTAATGGTTACGTCAGTAAAGACATTTTCACAAAAATGTGAATGGACACCATATAACACATATTTGTATTATTTAATAAAATATTAGATTTTATAATTAGGTTTTCTTCTTCTGATATATAGATATTTAACCTGTACCTTGAAGGCTTATTGACATCCATGTTGATGGCAGCTTGTCTATCTGTGCCTGGGGTACTACTTCATAAATTCATAGAATACAAGGTATTATGACAAAGGAATAAAACCAAGAGGCAAGCTAGGCTCGTTCACTTTGTACTGATGCAGGAATTGGTCCTCTGCCATTTACTCCTTCGCACCCCAAGTAACCTCCTGGGTGTTTATATGGGTCAGGCCCCGAGCGAGGGATTCAGGTAAGGGGTGGTCCCATTGCACAGAGCTCACTCTGGAGAGGGAGGCATAAAGAGCAGGCTGGCACAGATGATTATTTGCTGTGACAGATGCTACGAGGGTAACATGCAGGGGCTGTGGCAACGAGTAACACCAGGGACCTAATTCAGAAGTCTGCTCTGACCAATAGCATTTCAGCTGGGACCTAAAGGGCAGTGGGGGCATTCCAGAGAGACGGCCCGCAAGGTGGACAGCTGGACAGCTGGACGGGGGAGACATGGAGGAAGGCCACTGAGACCTGAGTGAGCGTAGGGAAGGTGCCACGGGGCAGGTTCGAGGGGCAGGGCCCTGCAGGGCAAGATTAGACATTTAGATTTTATTCCACGTCAGAGGAGAGGCCACTGAACAGTTTAAAATAAGGGAGCAACATTGTATCTATTTCTTAGGTTCAGTTTTTAACCAAGTTCTGATTAATTTACAACCTTCTAAAACACTAAATATTATACTTAATAGAATGAAAAAGACTAGAATGTTGACTGCTATTTTTGGAAGCTGGGATAATGGTTTTCTCAAATCTTCCTGATGTTTTCAATATTTTGCTAGTTTTTGTTTTTTTAAAGAAGCAGTTAGTACTTTTAATCAGAAAAAAACCCACTTTCTTATATAAAAGTAAACAGGAATATATCACTACGTTTTATTTGGTAGTGATATAAATGTATTTGTATGTAATATGTGTTCTATAACTGTTCAGTGAAATTTAAAACAAAATGGTTCAAAAATAAATTACCAGTGGGCAAAACACATTGTATTCTTTTTTTATCTCTTCAGTAAGAGAGATATTTTTCTGAGGAGAACTTATTTATCAAAATTGTTGTCATTGAAATAAATGTGTTTAGCATCGTGTGTGTAGGATACTGCTCCAAAGGCTAACAGACAACCTTGGGTTCAAAGAGCAGGCCTTTATTTTGTGCCTTTTTGTCTGATTATAGTTTGTTCCTGAACTCTCTCCACTGTTCTAGGAGTAAGGTATTAATATGGTCCTTGGCTAAACAGACTACCTAGGAAAGAAGAGAGGTGAGCTGAAGGGCCCCTCCCTGTGGCAGTCCCCCTGGCTTCCATCCCCTGGCCACTGGCTAGGTTTCTTTTGAAGACTGTGGAGAGGGCTCCCCTCATCCTTAACAAAAAGTGGGTCAACTTTTTTCCATCCATTCTAATAAGTTATTCAAATGTGCTGCATGCATTAATTAATCTCGCCAATTCAAAATGAGTGATTCACTGGAAATGAGGACACCTTTAATTCAAATGTAAATATATACAACATTTCCCAGCTTGCCTAAAAATGGCAGCTTTATTATACAAGATCTGAGATGCTATTTAGAGAGTTTAGAGATGTGCTTCCTGAGCTTGAAGGACTTCATCTCAAAAGGGAACATAAAACTAAGAAACAGGAAATCTTCTGAAAGGTTTAGTAGTATGTAAAAAAACAAAACAAAACAAAACAAAAAAAAACAATGAATCTGCCAAAGGGACTGAGTTAAGTGATGAAAAAACTTGCTGCTCATCTTTGTCAGGCTGGAAACTTTAGAAGGTCTGTATCTGTATAACTGTCCACATATGTACATGTGTTTGGCTTTCTTCATACTGTGAGCGAGGAGGGTGGGGACAAGTGCAGAAAGGAGGAACAGACAAGGGGGCAGGCAGAGGGTGGATGGACTCTCACTTGTTCTTTAACCAGAGCAGTGCTACTTTTTTATGTTTTATGTATTACTGTCCTGCCTGGGACATCATTTCCGAAAGAGCTTCTTAACTTGAAATTGTTCAAAGTGTGAAGACCTGTTGCAAGGGGTTTGAGTTTCTGTTGTAGCCTAGCCACTGGGCTAAGCAGTCTACACATTTCATTTAAATAATACCTAAAAAAATCACATGACATAGGTCCTAGTATTTTCACTTTACAGATGAGGAAACTGAGGTTCTGAAAGGATAAATAATTTGTATCACATGCACAGCAACTAAGAAATAGGGCCAAGATTCAAACTCAAGTTTCTCTGCTCCAAATCCCATCCTTTCAACCACAATGCCTTGCTGGATCTGTGTTTAAGACTCGAAGTGCATATATTCATGGGCTCTTAAATAGTATGCCAATACAAGCACAGATATCTTTATATAAGTATGTACAATATAATTTATGAAGGTGTGTTTAGCAGTGGACATTGCCTAGATGTCACTTTAGAGAAAGAGGTTTTAATAGCTTAAGAAACATGCTTTGGCCACATAGAATGGAGAAATGTTTCCAGACTTGGGGAATGGCTTGTACAAAGCCATCCTGCAAAGAGTTCTTGCTTTGGGTGGAAGCTTCCTGGAGGGGAGGCAACCGCTCCTTGGCCCCTCCTCACCCCAAATCGTTTAATTAAGTAATACTTTGAAATGTAATACATCAACAAAGAACACTAAAGAGAAAGTCCTCCTAGGATTTTAGGGTTGACATGGGCACTTTTGGGTCTACAGGAATGTTGTCAGCAACAGGATAGGTGAGCAGTATTCTGGAAAAAAACCACTAGTGAAAAGGAAGAGAACATCTACAGAAACAAGGAGCACCTACTAGTGAGGTCAAATTTCTTGTGTCTATCTAATTCTTTAAATAACACTTTTGCCGCTTTGTTCATTCAAAGCTAGTCAGGTGAGATACCTCCAGGAGAGGAGAATTGAGTGTTTTCCCTCCTTTAAATGGTAAAATTCTTCCAGGTGTTTCTTTTTTCTTCCTTCCTTCCTTTCTTTTTTTCTTTCTTTTCTTTTTTTGTGTGAAACCATTTTTCTATTCTAGGAAGTTGTCAAAACATATGATTTTAACTTCAAAGAAAAACAGGACTGAAATATGTCAAATCCCTGGAAATAGTCTGAAATCCAGTTGAGTTTACACAGAAAAACACACACTAAAAAATCTTAAGACCATTTGGCCACAGAGATCTCAGTTTCTCTGACAAAACTGGAACTGTGGATAGGGTAAGTTCTTAAATCTCTGAAGTGAAAAGCAGGCAGGAGAACAAACAAGAACAGACGGGTTTCAAAACAATACATTCTTGTTCCTGTTCCACTGAGCTTCAGACCCATGTCCCCTCCCAGGGATAACATGGGACTCAAGAAAAGACTCAGGAGAAAAACTTGTTCCTAAAATACTGAGTACATATAAGAGGCACTAAGGGAGGGGCTATTGTACATATAAAGTGACCACCTGTTGCCTCTATTGGTCTGTTTTGGGTTTGTATGGCTATAAAAATCAGTATATCACAGTAGTAATTCCAATTTCTCTGAGTTATGTTCATTCACAGCTATTAAATTTGCAAGCGTGAAAATTTTACTACTCAGATGTTTAAAATATTTGATAGTCAAAAGTGAATGTAGACCAGGAAGGACTGGAAAAGGAGGCAGAATGTGAATGCCCCCAGGGAGCAGGCCCGGGCTTGTTTACAGGTAAGCAGGGCACGCCAGAGCTCTTCTAGGACCTACAGTCAAGTTGCAAGGATTTCAAATGAGAGAAGAGGCTGCCTTTTACAAAGATGAGATAAGCACACTGTGGTGCAACAAGAATCCCTGTTAGTAATTTGATATATACCTGTAGAAAAAAAAATCAAGAAAAGTCCATAATCATTTGAGAGTCCTGAAAAAAAATCTATGTAAAAGTTGGATTTTCAAGGCAATGTTTTGGATAGATAAATATTCAAAAGCTAAAACTGCTTGCCAGCTGCTCTTTCTTAAAGTCCCTCTTCAGTACCAGTGTCATCCTGATGTTCTAAAATCGCCAGTCCCACTGATGGCGGAATGTTTTCCTTTTTTAGGTGGGAGGATTATGAGAAGTGTCATTTTGCATTTGGGGAAGAAATGGAGGTGAGGGGCGGTCGTGGCAGAAGGGGTGGGCAGAGGTGAGAGTAGCCTCGAAGTGGAGCGGAAGCTCCCGTGCACTGCCGGCACCATCTGGTTGGTGTTCACAGGAGGTGATCATCGGGGAGGCCAGTTACCTGAAATTTCTGGAAGTGTAGGCTCGTCTTCTTTCCAGAAGTTCCCATCACAAACAGGAAGTCTGGGGTTAGCACAAATGGTACTCTCTCTTTATTAATGCCCAGGAAACTTTTGTAGTTCCCAAGAATGTGCCCAAAGTCAATATGAAATAGATTTCCTTAAAAGAAGAAAATGTCTGACATCATTACACTGGCATAAGCACTTGTAACAATACTCTGGTTTGTTTATCTCTTGAAACAATTTTTTTTTAAGTTGCCTGACAATGAGCTATCTTGGGTGACAGAGCTATTTTTATACTCTTTTATCAGCTGGTGATTTTTTTTGTCTTAGCAGGTGTGTGTTGTAGTAGCCACAAAGCACTCTTTGAACCAAGGGGGTTTTCTATATATATCCTTCCGGTGTTCTTTAAATGACAGCCAAATGTTATTTAAAAATTGTCATTTCAGAATTACTATTGGAAATATAAAGCAAAACTCTGGCTAATATGCCATCATTAAGCTCAAGACCTTCTTATGCCCTTTGTGTAACTCAAGAGAGACTGATGTTTGGTTCTGCGTGGAGGAGCGACATTTGCCTTTTACGTTTGAGTAACCTGACAGAAATAAATCATTTGAATCTCCTTTGGGTCAGTTTCTGCCACTGTCACCATCCCCACCACAATTACCATAATTTCTGCTCTTTTGTATAGCTCTTGATCATATGTAGGGCCTGTAAAGGCATTATTTCTTTCAATTCTCATAGAGAGTAATTGGTTTACCCAAATATGGTGCTTTTTGCAGACTCTACTCTTCAATTGGTCCAAATTTCTTAGGCCAAAATTTCCTGGCATGGTAACCAATACTGCCTACTGTCAGAGTACACAGTGAACCAGTGAGGAGGGGCAAGTTAGGAAGGCACAGCATTTCAGATTTAAAGAGATGTCTGTGAGTTCTTTTTGTTGCTTTTCTATAAAATACGACACTGTTGATCAAGCTTTTCACTAGCTTCTGAGATAAGATCCCATTTAGCTTTTGACTGATTTATGCTTATGTCTCATTTGCTATATCATCTTCTATTATTCACTCCTGAGTGATCTAGGGTGATCACAGAATCTGTGTTCCTGTGCAATAATGACTTCTAGATATTTGCTCCAACCTTAAACTCCATCTAAAAATTACTCTGTGCTGGGGGAAGGAGGAGTTGGTGTTTAATTGGTACCGAGTTTCAGACGGGGAACATGAAAAAGTTTTGGAGATGAATTGTGGTGATGCTTGTACAACAATGTGAATGGACTTGATGTTACTGCACTGTACATTTATACTGGTTAAAATGGTAAATTTAATGTTCTGTGTATTTCACCACAATCAAAACAATTTACAATAAATAAACTCACCTGTCTCTGTAATCATAATGTTGTCATTGTGCCGGTCACCTATTCCAAGAACAAAAGTTGCCACACAGTAGCCAGCACAGGAATAAACAAATCTCTCCACTGCTGCCTGAAACTAATTAAAATGCATCTGAATATTAGTTGTATTTTAACTACAGAGAACAGCATGAATCTAGTACAAATGACTTTGAAAAAGACATTACATTTTCAGACATCAAGTTAGTTGTGTCTGGTTCCATTAACATTATATCTTTTAAGTGCCAACTTTCTCGTTACTCTACTTATATTAGGTGAAGATTCAATGAATCACAATAGCACTAGGAGGAAAAAAGAGTCAAAGGACAACATCAATTTAATCAAAGGGTTGCTTCACTTTCTATCCATGTATCACTTGCCAACAACTATACAGAACCCATACTAATTTCTCCGTCATTAGTGAACATGTGTTTTGCTTGTGACCACTTAAAATATGATGATGGGGTCACAATACACATGTATATCAGATTGATAAGTGCTGCTAATTATACTGCCTCCTCAAAAGCTGCTGACCATGCAAACAAGAAGTGCTAATCTTATGCAGCAGAACTTGAAAGGACAGCCCGGCTGCACATTCAGCATATGTGCTCGAGAGGAATGGTGAAAATGAAATTTTCAGTATCCATAATTTACCATTTAGATTGGAGTGAAGTGATAAGTTAGAAATTACTTTATAGGGTATGTGGTGTATCCCAGGTAGGAAGAAATTTATATGTGGTAACTACATTTTTCTGCTGAACAACAGAAATATACTATTATAAAAAGTGCTAACAAATTATTTCACTGAACCACATTTCATGCAAAGTGTGCCTGATAATCAAAGGAGAAGCAAATGCTCACAGAGTTCTGAACTGAGCATGTCTGTTTAACACAGATATGCTAGGCCACCACAGGAAGGTGCTTAAACCCCTATGACCTCACGTGTAAAAGGATTCCCCAAATACATCAGGAGGCATGATATCAGTAGACACTTTGAAAATGTGAAACCACTGTTACTGTATAAATGACCACTGATAAGGAGTCTTCAGAGTAAGGAAATGCCGGAGCTCACCTTTTCTTCAATGGGGCATTTTTCTTTGAGCCAGTGATTCAGGACTTCATCTTTAAATGCACCTGTGTTGCCCACTGTGCTTTGCTGAATTTTGGCAATTGTTGTGGCATCTTTCACAATCTCGATCATTCCTACAGGAGGATGCACACAGTTTGATGTAGATTGGGGTCCAGTGCCTGGCCCAGAGGAGAAAAGGCTGTATCTTTGTTGAGTGGAGGTCAGAGAGCTATTTTCCAGGTTCATGCTGTTGGTTTTCTTAGCAGTAAGAAAAACAAAAGGAGGGGAAAATGGAAGCTGTGTGGGACATGCTTTCACTGTCCCTGAATGAAAAGAGGAAAGGGATGGTTTTGAAATGTAATAAGTAAAAGCAGTTATGGGCTGAGTATATCCTTCCTTACTTGGCAACCTATGCCTTTTCCTTTTTTAAATTACAGGTCAAATGTAAATGGTTTTGTACAGTTCTCAAAGAGGAAACTTGAATAAAAATGTTTGATTGACATTAAAATGTTAAATGTTTGTAAAAGCACCTAAGAGTGGAATATGTAATAGCTTTGATAATGTTAATTCTGGGATACTAAAATAAGTGACAGATATTTCTGTCTATTTTTAAATGTTAATTGTGAGGGAGAAGCTTAATGTGCAGTGAAACAGTTAAAGTTTAGAGGTGGAAAAGTAAAGAGGAAGGAACAGTTCTTACTAAAATCATTTCCATGTATAGTCACAAGAATTTGAATCATGCATTCATTTATCTTCAACATATCCATATTAAATTGGGAGTCACATTCACCAGCCTTAGAACATTTCCTTCCTTTTTATATGGATTATGATTGTAATTTGTCAGTTAGTAAGTGCCCACACTGAAAGAATTATAATCTTTTAAAACTAATTCAGTGTTACATCCCTCTCCTGAGGTAATCACATACCTATTTTGTCACCAGTTGAAATACAACCATATGGCAAGAGGCACAGATCCAAAGACTCAGTCTCCCAAATGGACTCCATGATTCGTAGAATCTGGGCATCAAAACACAAAAAAGTTTCCATTATAAATGTATGTATTTCTTTTCCTTTAAAAAAATCTTACCTGGTAACACAAAAGATATAAGAAAACATAAAAAATATAAGTAACAACTGTACTTTTATTTATTAACCTGGTACTCTGGGTTTTTATCCTTTGGTAGCCTGTTAATTTTGGTTCCTGAGATTTACCTTGAGAAAGAAAATAAATGGATTTCTTTTGAGATAGGTGTTAGCCACAATTCATCTATTCCATTCTAGTTATGTATATTTTACCACAATAAAAAAAAGTCCCACAACTTATATTTAAGTCTTTTATCCACCTTGAGTTTATTTTTGTGTACAGTGTAAGTTGGTGGTCAAGTTTCATTTTTTTGCATGTAGCTGTCCAGATCTCCCTACAGCATTTGTTGAAGAGGCTATTTTTACTCCATTTTCTGCTTCTTCCCCCTTTGTCAAATATTAACTGACCATAGACACATGGGTTTACTTCTGGGCTCTCTACTCTGTTCCATTGATGTATGTGTCTGTTCTTATGCCAGTACCAGGCTGTGGTACATTTATGCAATGGAATACTACACAGCAGAAAGAAGGAACTCCCACCCTTCTCAACAGCATGGATGGAACTGGGGAGTATTATGCTGAGTGAAATAAGCAAGGCAGCAAAAGGCAAATACCATATAATCTCACCTATAAGTGGAACCTAATCAGCAAAACAAACACACAAGCAAAATAGAATGAGAGACATGGAAATAAGGAACAAACTGACAGTGACCAGAGGAGAGGGGAGAGGGGAATCATGGGGGATAAAGGGAGACGGGAAGTCAAGGAACGTATAAGGGACCCATGGATAAAGACAACTGGGGGGAGGGTTGAATGTGAGAGTAGTTGGGTGGGTAGGGCAGGGGAGAGTAATGGGGGGAAAATGGGGACAACTGTAATTGAATAACAGTAAAAAAAACTGTTCTACTCTACCATCCTTACAAATTTTTATCCATAAGGCAAGAAAACAATAGCAATGATGACAATGATAGCTAACATTTCTTGGGTGCTGTTTTATGTTGATCCTTTGCATTCACCTTACAGTGTGGATATGATTATTATTCATATTCTGCAGGTGAAGAGACTAAGTATTAGAGACCTTAAATAACTTGTCCTTATCTTCCAAGCAAAGTGCCCTAACAACAAAACAAAGTACATAAAAGTAAAACGCAAATTTGCCCTCAAAATGAGAGGAAAATGAGTGATGTTTTGTGTTTTTCAAGTATATCTTTGAATAATTCAAAAGATTTTCTTTTTTCCTCACTCAAGGACACTTTTTCATTTCTTTATAGAGAGGGAGGAAGGGAGAGAGAGAAACATCATGTGAGATAAACAAAGCAATTGGTTGCCTCCTTTACACACCCAGACCTGTGATCGAACCCACAACCTAGATATATGCCCTGACTGAGAACCTGAAACCCAGGTATGTGCCCTGACAGGGAATCAAACTGGCAACCTTTCAGTTATGGGATGATGCTCCAACCAACTGAGCCACACTGTCCAGAGCAAATAATTAAAAGGATTTTACAGATTTCTTGGAAATTTAATGAATTTAAAAAGGTTTGAAGGACTTTTTATTCTTTTAATAAACAATTATTTCCAGGAAAATACACATACCATTCTTGAAAAGAGAGCAAAGGGTATTATTGTTTCCATATTAGAAAGAAGCAAAAACAGAAACACAGAGGGAATTAAAAACATGACCTTGTTTTTAAATAGTCTATATTTCCATCATTGTGGTTTGCCTGTTTTAAATAAATCATATTAAATATTAGAAATTATGTTACCTTTATGATGTTAAACAGCTAGAGTAGAGTACCACTTTATGAGTTTGTGAAGCTAAAGTTTATCCAGAAATGTTAGAAAATAGAAAAATGATTAACATTGACACCTTCACCATTTACCTGCTCTAGAAATCCATTCACTCTTTGTTATTAGCTACATGTCTCCAATTGCTTACCTGTTCATCTTCTTTCTCCTTCCTATCAAATCGTCATTTGAGTTTGTGTGAGTGTGTATCCAAGGTGACGTCTCTAAGAGCACCTGTGTGTGTGTAGTTATGTCTATGAAAGGGAATTAAGTGAATGCTAGGGGGTAAATATGCCTATGTTCTATGTTACCATATTATGAATGGGTATAAAAAACAGAGACTAGGTGAGGGAAGTATGTCTGGCTATTTGCAAATGTTGGCTATGGATCCTCTCAGGAATGTACAAAACCATGATGCTCACTAGATTGGGTATCTAACGGTCCATAGCCATATCCCCTCTTTCTATTATGTAATCTTTGATCATTGTTCATTATTGATCAAAGAGAGAACAGGAATAGTGTCAGTAGAAGGCATTTTTTTAGATCTAATATACTAGAATTATTTTTTCAGATAGTTGAAGAAAAATCCTTAACAGTAGCATACCTGTAAAATAAGCATGTCTTGGCGCAGATCATCACCATGTTTAAAGATAATTCCAATTGTTTCATTTGATAGAGCTGTAGGGTCAGCACATTTAAACTCAAGCCACAGGGGCTTTTTCTTGGAGGCCATTACTTTACATTTTTCAACCTGTGAGGAAACAGTCAGATGTTTTAATACACAATGAATGCACATTGGAGACACACATCCTCTTGAGAAGCACCAAAAATAATCAGGACAAATTCTTAGTTGGAAAATTATTTTCAATGATTTGAGTAAAAATATAGAAAGTGTTCTCACCAAATCTGAAAATACTAGTGAAAGCAATTCACAACACTTACACCAGTGGTTCTCAAAGTATGTTCTGAGAAACCCTAAGAATCTGCAAAGATGCCCAAGAGGCATAGCAGATCCCATCCTCTGCACACTGCGCTCCCATGAACTCTGGTACTCTCAGGTTCCCTTTAATATAGAGCAACTCTGCTGTCCTTTCTTTATATATTTGTCCTCATAAGATTTAATTTGAAAAAAAAAATTCTGCTGCTATCACAATATGTAAAAACTATTCTTGCAGAATCAGAAGCAATAGGTCAAATATAATAATATAAAATTTAACTGCAGTAAACAGAAATCTAGCACTCAGGTACAACACCTCCTCTCTCAAAAGAAAAACCCCATACATCTAAATAAACTCAAGAAATTTTGCTAGAAATGTGGCTTAGCAGCCACTCCAAAATAAAAAAATCTTACGGGTTTTGGCTGAAAGTGAATTCACCATGCATCAAAAATGCAATGCGCTCTTAAAAAAAAAGAAAAGAAAAAAGCAAACACAATTTGAAGCTGTATGAATATGTTATTATTCCTAGCAACCTCTAATTGGATAAGGACGGAGGACAGTGTGTGCTTTTACTATAGGGCCAGTTTACTGCTAATTGGACATAGAATAAACATGAAAGGAGCAACATCCCCTTCTTTCCAAAAGGAAAGGGGAAATATCTTTCAAAAATGAAAGTGAAGTAAAGAGTTTTACAAACAAAATAGAAAAGAATTTCTTGCCAGAAGACTTGCACTATTAAAAATATTAAAAGGCTGAAGGAAAATGATGCCAGATGGAAACATGGACCTATACAAAGCAGTGCAGAGGTACCAGTAATGGTAAATATGTGGGTGAATATAAAAAAAGTCCAATCTATTACATCCGTTCAATCTATTTTAACTGTTTAAAGCAAAAATAACAATGTATTTGGTTTATTAAATATGTAGAAATTAAAAGCAACAAAAATAGTATAACAATGGGAGGAAGTTAATGGAAATATACTGTCTTAAGATTCTTATGTATGCATGAAGTGGTTTATTATTTGAATGGTACCAAGAACATATGGTATTGACATAAAGAGAGATATTTAGATCAATGGAACAGAACAGAGAATCTAGATATAAATCCACATGCTCAGATGACATTTGACAAAAGTATTGCCAACATATTTAAACAGAAACAGGACAATTTTTTCAATAGGCAGTGCTGGAAAAGTTGGATATTCAGATAAAAAATGAAACCTGATCTTTATCTCACACTGTACACACAGATTAATCTAAAACAGATCAAAAACTTAAATGTACAGTTAAAACTATATGATTTCTAGAAAAAATATGTTACATTGAATGAGGCAGTATTTCTCAATTTTTCATCATATTTTGGGCTGGATTATTTTTTGTTGGGGTATGGGGGCTGCTCTGTGCATTTTAGGATATTTAGCAGCATTCCTGGGGTCTACCCACTAGATGTAGCATCTTCCCAGTTGTAACAACAAAAAATGACTCCAGATGTTACCAAATGTCCCTTGGGGTGTGCGTGCGTGTGTGCATGTGCGCGCACTGTTGGGGTGAGGTGGGGTCAACCCAGGTTGAGCATTGCTGGATTAAGCAAATATTTCTTAGGGTGCAAAATGCAGGAGCCATAAAAGAAAAAGTGATGAACTGACTTAATAAAAATTAAAACCTTCTGCTCCTTGAAATATACTACTAAGAAAATGAAAAGGCAAGTCACAGACTGGGAGAAAATATTTATAAAATGTGTACTTTATAAAGGATTTTTGCCCAGAATATATAAATAACTCATAAAGAAAAATAAGAAGGCAACCCACATTAAAAAAGAACAAAAGATGTGAATAGAAACTGCTCAAGAGAAGATAGAAGATAAGCACATGAGAAGATGTTCAGTAATGAGATACCACTTCACACCATTTCAATGGCTATCATCGGTCTTTTAAAAAGACTGGTAACAAGTGTTGGCTAGGATGTGGAACAGTTGGAACTCACATGCATTGCTGGTAGGAACGTAAAATGAATGGTACAGCTACTTTGGAAAAGTGACCTGGCGGTTACATGCACATGTACCATCTGACCCAACTGTCTCACTGCTAAATATTTACTCAAAAAGTGAATGGAAAATAAACTGTGGCATTGCTATACTAGGAAATACTACTCAGTCATAAAAAGGAACTGACTACTGATACACACAGCAACATGGATGCATCTTAAAAGCATTATGCTAAATAAAATAACCCAGATATAAAACTATACAGTGTATGACTCCACTTCATGAAATACTTGAAAAGGCAAAATTACATAATAGAAAGCACATTTGTTGTCTGGGATGGGGCATGGAAGGAGGAAAGGACTAAATAAAAAAAGAATATGAAAGAAATATTTCTATGAAATTTCTTTGTAAGTGTTCTAGATCTTGATTGTGATAATTAACTGTATGCTTAAAATGGACATTTTTTTTGCATGTAAAGGATTCCTCTTGAAAGCTGATTTAAAACAAACTGGGTGGGAGATTGCCTAGTGTTGAGGCTTTTTGTATTTAGTGTTTAGAAGAGAGTGTGACAGGCATTTTCAAGACATGAAGGCCACGTGGAGACATCCAGGTGATACCTACCACTAGTGCTCCTGCTTTAAGTCCAGGATCATAAGGAACTCTAAAGCTCTTGGGGAGATTCGAATTCTGGAGGTTTTCAAGCTTTTGCTTAAGTTGTGAAATAACTGTAATTGTCAAAAGGACACAAAAGTTATGCAAGCTCAAGAAACTACCGATATTGTCTATAACATTCCCTGAGGCCACATCAATTCACAACACTATACGTTTGGTCCGGTGTGGAGTAAGGGAAAAGGGGGTTGGTTTCTGTCTTTGAGGAACTATCCATCTGAGGTGGCAAGATAAGTCAGGCTTACTGGGAGCAATACTACCATGTACACATCCAACAGGGGACAGAAATAGGGGAACAGATGCAGCATACCAGGACAATCAGATAGGGAAGGGTATTTTAAGGACAGTGCTAAGGAACTGATACTTTAGTTTTCTTTCTAACGTGTGAAACTTTAAACTGTCACCTGATTTGGGAAATGGGCATTTGCAGACCATATTAAATAGACTTCAGTTACTCTGAAGAGTCAGTTAGGCTGGGTGGAGATGGTGTGACAGCCTCAAAATTCTGAAAGTGAAGTACCTAAATGAAAAATTGCTCCCTATATAACAGACAGTTATAGAGCCAGAGCAAATGGAGGCCAGAGCAAATATTGCCCTTTCTTACTTACAATAAAAATAAAAGTAAGATCATTATTACTTTTAGAACAGAGCATTATTGGTGTATTGGAAAAGAAACCAAAGGAAAAAGTGGAAATTCTAAATACTCAGAAGTTTAAAATACTGGCTGAGAATGTTAGTGAATGTTCCATATGAGCCGTGCTGCTGGGTCTAGGGTTACAAACAGGAATAAAAGCTATTTCCTAGCCTCAGGGCCAGTGTAGTTTATCAAATCAGAAAAATTTATTGATGACTATAATTTAATACAGTATCAACCAAAATCTATGGGAATACAGAGAAAGAGTGGTTAATTTTCCACTCTTTCTCTGTGCAGGGCAGGGACAGGACATTTTAGGAATAAGAATACAATACTGGAAATGCATTCAGAGACGAGGTGATATACATTTTTACATGAAGTACTCTGAAATACATATACATATATATATACTATATATACACATACACACAATATATGGAGGTATATATGTATATATGCACCAAAATATTAAATAGCTTCTTAATAATTTGTTATTTTAAAAGACTGAAAATTTGAAAATTATATGTGTTATTGAAAGATAGGGAGAAAAAAGGTAAATATTTGAAAATAACTAATCTTTTTGTATGTGCACAATTGTTCTTAAAAATAGATCTTATATCTGCATAATGCTTTTAAAATTTTTCAGAGTTTAATATCCATCATAAACTCATTAAAATATATATAGTTTTAAAAATATATTAACTTGTAAAGGGAGAACTTAAATTTGCTTGCTCCCTAAAGACAGAGGATTTAAAAACATTGTTCTTTGCTGTCTTTAGAAAGGTACAAATTGCCTTTCAGAGATGATGGCTTTTAGAGATGAAGGCATCTGGAAAGAGAACCAAGAAAATAGAGCTACCATACCTTGGGAACTGACATCATACTTTTCAGCAGAGAGTGACTTAATATCAATAGTAACTTTTTGTAACATCTCAATTACTTGGACTTGTTGGGTGAAGTCATGTAGCATGGCGCCGCCGCAGCCCCTCAGGTAGGCTTCCAGGATCACAGCAAACCTCTGCTGATAGTGCCTGGACTGGGCTATCTCACTTCTCAAGAACCAAAACAGGAAGTGACCAATTCTTTTGTTCTGAGGGTGGGAACAAGAAGGTTGAAATCATTGTGGCTAATGCTCTACATCTATCAGCCAATTCCCAGTAACCTTTAAAATGTCACGCTGTTATCAAAATGGAAGTACTTACTCTTAAAGCACGTTTTAGCAGAAACCTGGCCAGGGCACTGTCATGGTAAGGTTCAAATTTCACAGCCTAAAAGAAGAACACATGGGCATTTGTAGGGCTACAGTCTGTGTTGGTTAATTGGGGAAAAGGAAAGAGCAAAGCTAGTGCTCTGCCTTGGTGGGTTTCTATGGCTAGGGTGATGAGAATCTTACCAGTCACTTAAGCTCAATACTTTTTTTTCCCAAGGACTCTTTGGACCAGAGTGAACCACAGTGAGCTTGCGTAAGGACTGGGAGTAGAAGCTGGAACTATTGACTCACAGTCATGTGCTTTTGCTAACTTCAAAGGCAAAGAGGGGAGGACTTTGGCTCCCATTAAAGGCTTAGCAGATTGATTGGAAGGATAGAGGGGAAAGGTGGAGATGACTGTAACGAATCTATAAAAGTGGGAGCCAAGAGAGGTTGTTGAAAATAGACAGTAGAGATAGAGTACATGTAAGGAGAAAAATATTTGTTAAATGTGAAGGTCCTGAAAATCCTATCACTTTTCTACTCAAGACGGGTGCCTGGCATCTCAAAGGCAAGTCACTGAGCTGTCTCACAGGTTCTTACTGCAAGTAAACAGCAGGCCTAGATCAATTAATGCAGAACGATCTCTACTCCCTGTCATGTGTGGTGTACACAGAGCTTTTTGTCTGAAAAATCTCTTATTTAATATATTTCCTCAGGAAAAGTGTTTAGTAGTTTTCGTATCACTTGGTTAATATAGAGAGACTGACTTAAATGATAGCTCTATGACTCAAGAAAAAGAACCAATAAAAAGTAAAAAATAATTACATCCTGATGGGTGTATGGTATCTGTTACATCATTCTCTGCACTTTTCAATAAATCTTCAGTAGTTCATAATTTAAAAAACAGACTAACAAACACTGTTTGATTATAAATGCATATATAAAGTTATAGGGTAGATAGGATGAAGAGAGGGAGTTTAAAACTAAATATCTCAGAGTATTTTCTTTATAAATAGACATGATATACCCTTTTTTAGATGAAACAGAAGAAATTTCCATTCCACTTTATGTTTCATGGCCTGAGGACTTTTGGTATGATTTCCATTTCTTACTCTGGTTTTCCAGTTTGGAAGTGATCAATACTGACTTTATAATATTTCAATTATTCCCATACTTTCAAAGATCCTTTCCAATGGTATATTCAAATGGGTGCCACAGTTGCTCCAGCTAAGCTCTTAATTTGGAGAATGTGGTTATTTCACCACCAGTACTCACTTCAGAAATGTTTTAATTTTCTAACCATAATGTGAGTCTTTTCAAACTTCTTCATGTTTCACTTCTGTAAAGATAATGCAGATCTCAATGAAGAGGCCATTTTAATCGAAATGAGTCATTTGGCCATATTTGAAAAATATCTCAATTTTACAAATGACTACTACTCTTCAAATGCATGACCACAAATTCAATGCTGATATTACTTATTGATCTTTTTCATTTAAATACTTCCAAGAACACCATTCATTTTCCAATTCTGGAAAGTTTATTTGTGAAAATGACAATGTAAAATAATTCATAGTGGCCTTGGGACTTGGAACATATCTCATGCAAATTTGTTTTATGTTCTATTTGTTGTGGAGAGCTAGAAAGCTGAAGATACTTGGATTATTCTAAAATTTTCCTTAGTGTTATGCTAGTATCTGCACTTACAGGCAGATAAAAATATTGGATATACTTGATAGATAAAGGCAAAGGCCAAATATAATGTTTCAAGTATCTGCTTACTGGAAGGTGATGATTCAGAGTTTAAGTGAAGAGCATCCAAAATACTCATCAGAAAGCTCCAGGGCCTTCCTGTCAATTCAGATAATAATTAGGCAGTTTAGTGTCTAACACTTACCCTGGATAATCTTAATCTCAGCTCAAGCATCATCTATTCAGAACTGTCCCTGGCTTCTTTGATCTAAATTGTGTACCCAGGATCCCTGGCTATTTTCTCATAATACTCTAGTTTTTCCCCAAAGTATTCCCCACAATTTGTCATTAAATGTCAGTCTTCTCCATGCACAGCAAGCTACATGAGGACAGCGATGGACTCTATTTTCATCACTGCACTATGTCCAGCATTCAGAACAGCAGAAGTACTATGTACATGTTGTTGAAGTCATGAATGCACACTTCTGCACTCTAAAATAGAACTTCAATTCCAATTTCTTTACTTCCTTGTCCTTATCAAGCAGCATAATCTAATATGAGGTAAGCTACAGTGAGTAGGAGAAATGCTCCTCCTTAACTTCCTAAGAAAACCTCAGGCAAATGATGTAGCCTCTCTTGACCTCAGGGGAAGGCATAAGAATAGGAGTGGAAACGCAAGGCCAGACCTGTCTAAAGAGAGGGGCTTTCAGGGTAGGTCCCATCCAGATAGGAGGTATTATTCATGAATGTCATCATATTCATGATCAGAAACTATGACCTTTTTTCTCCAGGACCCATGACCCTGACACTGGGTTGATGCAGGACATTGGGAGGCAGTGAGAAGAGGAGGGCCTGGAGTCAGACCTCCTGGGTTTGAATTCCAGCCTTTCAAAGTATGTGACCTTGGGCACATTAGTTAGCCTCTCTTTGCCTCAGCTTCTATATAATTAAAATAGCAACTTGATCTCCATCATAGTTATTGGAAGAGTTAAATGTAATAATATATAAAAGGCATGTATATCACTTGGAGCCTTTGCAGAATGGAGCATTCTGTAAATCAAATCTATGATTAATACAATAAATGAGAACAACATATTCCTGCAAGGTCAGTCCTCCTATAAAGTGGAAATATTAACATTTTCAAAATGCCTCTCAGAAAACCCTCAAAGACAATAAAAAAAAAATGGAACAGAACAGTACTTTTTAAGGTGGTTTCTTCAGATCTGCTTTGACAGATCATGAATGCTCTGGACAAAGGGCATTTGATGACAACTGAATGGGGTTCTTGTGCACATGCAAATAAATTCCTTGAGAAAAATGTTCTGTAAATAACACTGGCATCCCCTACCTGGACCAGCTGTAGCAGGTAATGCAGAACATCATCATCCTCTAAACTCTCCAGTTTCTGAACTGCAATGGCTCTTACATTTTCATCCGAAAAGTTGCAGTCCAGGAGTTGCATCGTTAGCCCAACATCCAAAGCACTTTGATCCCAGACCTCCCTTCTGGATAACAATTGGTATGTTTTGGCTACAATTTCTTGCTGTCCCCATTTCACTGAGCTAAATAGCTTAGGATATGCTTTTGGATGCTTAAGGCTTTCATATCTGAAGTGCCAGAGCAATTCTTTGTCTTCTGCTGTGAGAGGGTTAAGTGGATCAGTGGCTATGATAGCCTCCAGCTGCTTCCGAAGCTGGTTGGGCATTTCGGCTCGAACCCGGTCCCCTTCAGGGTCAGGGGTGGGCCGATGCTTAGGCAAGGCTATTGGGTGACAGTAATTGTCCAGAAGAATGCAGATGGACATCGAATTCTCTTTGTCTGGGTTGGTTGCAGAAGTTAACTTGTCAGCATTGAAGCTCCCTTGGTCTTCTCCCTTCCCAGATATTTGCCACATGTGGAGCACATACTCCCCATGGCGCAGGAGGAACCGGTGGTCTATCAGCAGAAGGTTCACGTAATAGAGAAGCTGAGCTTTGCCTTTGGATTCAGAACTGGGAATCTCTGCTGAGGCCTTACTAGATAATGCTGGAGCTTTGCCACAGTAGACCTGGAGGTTCAGTAGAGCCCCTTTGGGTAAGTCTTTGATTTTGATACTGAACTCAAGCCACACATTCCAGAGCACCTCCTCTGTGAAGGGCTTAGGACTGGTTCTCCTTTGGCAAAGGACTTGCTGCCCATGTTGGATGTTTGCCTCCACAAACACTGTGAGGTCAGCATTCCGGGGCAGGACAGGGATATCGATGCCCCTGATCTTGACCCTGAACTTCCGGTCACAGTCCCATAAGGACACAGTGAACACGCTCTCATGGTCCTTCCCATGGATTGTTAGCTGCTCATGATAGCCGGTGACTCCTGTGCAGTCATCCACCAGTGGCCACTCTTCTTTCCTCACCTCGTCCTCGGCTGGGTCTGGAGGAGTGTCAAGCACCAGGTGAATCTCTTCTCCGTTCTTGAGGCAGTGCCTCACCCACTGGAAGTTTTTGATGGGCGTTTCACCCACCAAGTACTCATCGCGGCCACAAACGCGCAGCACAAAGTCCTGCTCATTTTGGCTTTCGGGGATATCCATTAGAGACTTCTTCTTGGCCATCTTGGTGAAGAAGCTCTGGAGGATGGTGCCTGGGGTGTCGTCAGCTGAGACCTTGATGGTCTGGCTGGTGGTGCTGCGATGAATGATGATGAAAATGCAGTTGTTCGTAATCTTCTTCAACAGGTATTCCGGGAGGGGCTTGGATGTCACCCAGGGGTGCATAGCATAGAGCTTGGTGTCTCGGCCAGCCACCTCGGCCATGCGTGGAGTGACCAGGCGGCGGCGCGTGAACTCCAGCTCATCATCATGCACGTTGCTGACGTCGGTGACGTCATAGCCTATGAGGGCAGTGAGCTGCCGCTGGAAGGCGAGCGACTCCTCGGACGGAGAACGCTTCTGCACCACGTGGATCTGGCCTGGGCTCCTGTGCAGCACCTTCCAGTAACGCAGGCAGTCTAGTGTCTGCACCACCTGGTACTTGTCGTAGATCTCATACCACTGCCCCTTTTTCTGATAGAGCAGCAGGAAATGGTCTGGGCTGAGCCGGTGGTAGAAGTCGGCTGCCACACTTGTCTCTACCGCGCGCAGCCACACTTGCGCCTTCATCTGTTCCACGTTACCGTGGCCGGCCACGTGCAACAGTGCTGTTTCTGGGGTCTTGCTGGTGCGCTGGCTGGTGGGCAGCACGAACTCGATGGGGATGAGCTCCATGGAGGACAGGCTGGCCGCGGAGCCCCGTGGCTTCATCCTCCGGCGCCTGCGGCGGTTGTCCTCTCTCAGAACCACGGGCTGTTCATTGTTCTCCAACTCCATGCCCTGTGTGACCTGGGAGCGGAGAAACAGAGGGCTCGGTCACAGGGAGGTCACTTTCCCATTCTATTTTTCTGTGAGATGGCAGGAGACGGTGTAGACAGTGTCATGAGCACGAGGGGCTTTGGAGTCGGGGCCCATGAATCCTGACACTGCCACTTAATTATCTGGTCCCTTGAGCTAGTTACATAATCTCTGAGCCTGTTTCCCATCATTCAAATAGAATAATACTCTCAGAGGCTGGAAGTGAGGATTAAGTAAGGTCATGCATGTACTTGTTCAGTATGGACGATGGGTATATCGATGAGCACCTACCCTGCACAAAACATTTAAGTAAAAATGTGACATACTGCAGTAAGAAACACTTCAAATAATAATTGAAATGCCAAAGTATTAAAGTTGAAATAGAAATAAGATATTTTTATTTTAATATTCAGTATCACCGTGTTGTAAGGGGTTTAGTAATCATTCTCTTTACTTTCATTATGTTTAAGAATTTAATTTAATAAAGGAGATATGTAAAGCACTGATCTAGCATGATGTCTGGCATACTGTAATGGCTCAAAGTGGTAAATGTTTTTAAGCATACAATCCAGTTAAAAAATCAAGTGCCAGTTTGCAGGGTGCACTGTGAAATGCTAAAATACCCCACTAAGAAAACAGGCCTTTGAAATATTTCCTATTTGCTCAGTCTCACACTTATTGGGACCTAGATACCTTACTCAGCCTCACTTCACATTCTCTGTGTCCACACTGTCTGGTTCAGGTATCTACTCCCTAGTCAACTTCCTGTCTTTTTTTTCTTTTTATTTATTTTTTTCTTTCTAGTTAGGAAAGGTAATCATTTCATTGATAAAACTAAAAAATACCAGAATCAGTAATTTCAGCCAAGAACATTTGCAGATATTTATCATTTTGAATCATGAAGTTCTGGGCTGTCATTGCTATATTACTGTAGTGTCTTAGAGGAGTCACCCAAGGGTGAACTTTCTTTATAGAACATTCAGGCAATTTTAACTTTGTTCCAGTTCATTACATCTTCCTCTGCATTAGACAGTGGAGAAGTCATAGGATGGAAGGAAGGACTTCTGGACTCCAGTAACCTGCTGTTTGGGTCCCAATCGATTATTTAACTTCTTTTTTTCCCTCTAATATTTTCATCTTTATAATGAGAATTCGCAAGTTTCTTCTCATCAATTTATCCACTCTTTCCATAAATATTAATGAGTCCCTATCCTGCACAAATCATTTAAGTACAAATATGACATACTGCAGTAACAAACACTTCAAATAATAATTGAAATGCTAAAATATTAAAATAGAAATATAAATAAGGTATTTTTATTTTAATATTCAGTATCACTGTGTTGTAAGATATTATATTATAAATAAGAATCAACTCTTGACATAAAAATTTATTTCAGAAAATAACATTTACTCTCTTAAATGACTAATATTAGTGAGACTCGTAACTACTTATTTCTTTAAGAAATAGTGGAGCATTTGACACATACCAAAAAGAAGAGTTTGATTAAAAGATAAGACAGGTTTCATTAGATCCAAACTTCTGTTCAAATCTTGGCTTAAAGTTACCTTTAAAGTCAATATTCCATCTCATAAAATATTATGAAATTCTACTTAGTAAATACATGAAACCAACTGTCTCAAAGTATTGTCTCTTGCAGCTTAAAACATTCACTATTTGATCTGTAATGTTGCTACATTATAGAATAACAAAGAAGAGAACTGAAAGATATATTAATACTGACATTTGAAATAAAATAGGTCTGAATTTAGGCAACATACAAATACACGGCAATAACTTCTGCCTCAGTGACCTCAATCAATCTTACAAGATGCAGAAGAAAACAGGCAGATTACATACTCACTCTTTTCCTTCATGGTTGAGGTTATGGAGTGTTCGTCTTTTACAAGACGTTAGAAACACTGGTAAGTACAGTAATGGCTAAACATGCACTTGTAAGAATGTGAAGCTTGGCTAGCACAGGCTCCTGTGCCCTCCCTCTTCCTCTCAAACAAAAACAAAAAAAGACTGATGCACCTGCAAAACTATCACCGGAACCTCCTGGGTATCTACACGTACAGGTTGGATTAGACAATGAAACAGAGACATTCAGTGGTAGTGTCGTCTCAAGAACCAATGACAGTTCCAGTTAAAAATATTCTAGCTGAGAAGAAAGAGTCAGTATTCCAAGTCAGACCCAAAAAAGGGCAAAAAATAGAAAGGAAAAAAAAATACCTGATAAAGCAGTGGAGGTGATGATGCTGAAGGATCATTTGTTCAATTTTTGAAAACAATAAAATTAAACCTACCCAGTGTACCTCTAAACTCTTCCGCTTTTCTGGGTCTCCCTTCGTATCCAGATGCAGAGGAAGTGTTGCAGTTACCAGGAAGGAAGTTTTAACCAAGTTGATTCTACGTGTGATTGCTCATTTTAAAAGTGTCAGAAATGCGTTTCCTGTTAATAGCACAGAGAGTGAAGCACGAGAGGGAACAGTGTTTACTATATACATTTTTTATACTCTTTGAACTAACTTTTTAATAATTGTGAGAGACCAAAGCAAATTAAAATTACATAGATCTCCTCCCAAAACCCCCCACCACATTCATGAGATACAAACACATAAAATATTTTCTAGCTAGTTCTAAGCAGAAGGAAAGGCTTAACAGTCACATTAGAGAAACAGCCTTGTAGGAAGATTTTTAAGAACCAAATTAAATCCATTAGGCCTGCAAAGCCCGTTTAATTAATTTTCCTTCATGGGAATTCAAATGATCCCTTGTTCAAACTTTGCACCTGAGGGGTGGGGGAAGACAAGCTAGTGATCTAGGGGACTCAGTTATCAAGCTGAACATTTTTAAAGACAAAGTCTGGGAGGTCACTTCCTTAGCTTCATGCGATAGTTCTCTATTTTTTTCAGAGCATTTAGGTCACAAAATATCACTGGCTGAAACAGAAAGTACAGTGTATGTCAGTGTATGGGTCTGTTTGTATGTGAGTGTTGGTGTGGAGACTTAACTCTGGGCAATGATTGCAGACAAACTAGGAGGTTTTTGGTTTCATGGGAAAATAGGGAGCTGAGCGTTGTCAGAGAGACAGAGTCACTAGGAGATGGCCCCTGATTGTCACGGAAGTAGAGAATCCATAGAAAAGCCATCCTAAATCATTTTTAGAGTAGCTCTGTGTCTTCCAGGTGACTTCAATCCCTTTCAGAACCCCTGAGCATACTCAGATCCTGAACCAGTGCCCACTGCCCTCCAGGGTTCCTATAGGAGTTCATCCTCTGCCTTGGGTTATCACGGACACCAGCTGAGCCCCAGGGACAAGTAGGATGGTGTTGGCCTCACAGGTTTCTTGGAGGTATGTAATTAAAAGTTCCCTAAATCACTCTGACATCAAGATAAATGATCGATAATGATCTACCTCTTTTCACATAGGCACCTTGCATCTTAGCTTTCCATAAATTGTACTATAATAGTAGATATCGGCAGTCAAACTATTACATTCAAAGGCTGTGTCCCAAATATTCAGAAGGGGTTTATTAGCACCCCCAAATAAATTCGTATATAGGAATACTCCCTTAGGAGGTTGGCAGCTTTAGAAGCCTCGACACCGGCCCTTTTGATTGGTTCTGAAGGAGGGACCAAGGAGTCACACTACAGGAGCTTGCCAAGCTGTTCTTCACACAGAGTGTGTTGAGAGGGCTCACGGGGGGCGGTGGGCTGCATGGAGGCCTGTGGTTAGTAGGGCTGACCACGCAGGGACCACGAGCTTGGCCAGTTCTCTTCTCCAGACCAGTCAATAGATTCTGTCCCTCAACAGATTCTTTCCCTTCCCTGGCTCAGTCACACCCTGGGGCCAAGCCCCAACCTGATGCCCCACCCCCACAACACCCACAGGTTGTTTCAGAAATGTTAGACTTTGGCTCCTGGGTTTCCTTGCCTCTGCAGGAAATACTCAGCTAAGTCAAATTATGCAAAGTCTGTTCTATGACTAAACTTGCAAATACTTCAGATTTTATTGGTGGTTAGAGAATTGGTGGTACCCTGCCCTTCCCCAAATCCTAATATAGCCACTAAAATTTGACTACATATAGTAAATGTTCCAAGAGAGAAGTAATAGCTGGTGTCTCCTTCCTCACTGTGGGTGCTTCTGCCATGCAGAGGAATTCTTTACTAGTTAGGGCCCCTTCTATCACCGGATTTTTAGGTTAGAAGACCACTAGACATTACAATCCTGTTTTTACCAATGGGTTCCTCTCTTTTCTTCTTCTTTTCTCTTCTGTGAATCTCCATGCATCCAGCACCATGTTTTACATATAGTAATCATATACTACATTGGAGTTGGAAAAAATACCATCAGATTGTCTGGCCTTTTTTTTTTAAAGATTTTATTTATTTATTTTTAGAGAGATAGGTTAGAGGGAGAGAGAGAGAGAGAAACATCAATGTGTGGTTGCCTCTCACATGCCCCCTACTGGGGACCTGGCCTGCAACCCAGGCCTGTGCCCTGACTGGGAATCGAGCCAGTGACCCTTTGATGTGCAGGCCGGCGCTCAACCCACTGAGCCCCACCAGCCAGGGCAGATTGTCTGACCTTCTGTAGCACATCCAGCTATCACAGGAACAAGAAGATAGAACAGGTTAGAAAATATAAACACAGTAAGATGTGTCAATGATCAATAAACAGGTTACGAATGAATTATTTGCTATGAGAAAGCATCTTTGTGATAGCTTTCAGGGAGATTGTTGTCTATTTGGAGAGACAAGTAGAAAAAATAAAGATGTGCAATTGGAGGAGGTCACTTTGAGTGTAATTAAAATTCTTTTTAATTATGCAGGAGGAGACCCAGGATTTAAGGCAAAAGGGATCATAGGGAAGGTCTTCAAGTCAAAACTGTGAACAAACAAAACAGTTCAAAAAACAGTGAATGTATCCGTTTGCTGAAATAGAGGGCTTATAAAAGACAGCAGTAGAAGATGTGGGAAAGACACAGAAAGATAGGCATCTTCTTCCCAAACTTATTTCATATCTCAGCACATGTATATAGTAACAACATTTGTACAGCAGACTGGGGGCAATGAACTGTTTGCCCTCTCCACCCCAAATTCATGTATTGAAATCTTAACCCCCAGTGTAGTGGTGTTAGTAGGTGGGGCCTTTGGGAGATAATTAGGTCATGAGAGTTGAGCCCTCATGAACGAGATCCGTGCCTTCATAAAAGGGACCTCAGAGATCTCCCTTGCCCTCTCTCTGCCATGTGAGGATATAAGTATAGCTGTGTCTGCAGTCCACGAGAGGGCCCTTGCTAGAACCTGACCATGCTTGTACCCTGCTCTCAGACTTCCAGTGTTCAGAACTATGAGAAATAAATTTCTCTTGTTTATAAACCCTTCAGTCTGAGGCACTTTGTTATAGCAGCCCGGACTGACTATGACACTGGGTGAAGTGAAAAGTCTCCTCAAAGCTTGAGATAATATCTGCATCCCAAGGGCCCTGAGCCCCTTTGGGACACACTGGCTGGGAAGCTGGGTTATTGGCAATTGTTCCTGGGTAGGGCAGCTATCTGACTCAGACATGTGTGTATCTCTGAGCTTGAAAAGTACTAGAATCCATCCTTTCATGTTTTTTCAGCTCAGCCTCAGATGGCTTATACAATGTGAACAAAAATGCTAAAAGACATTTTAATCATCTCAAACAGTTTAGTTGACCCTCCTATCTTGCTTTGTTGTCTGGGCATGACTGCCAATCTTTATGAAGTTTTTCGGTCTGTATCTGGTATGGTGAAAGAGAAATATCCTGGTATTGTAGAAGCAGTAGCAATCATCAGTCCTGGGTTTATTTCTGCTCCTACTCTAGGCCTAATATATATGCTAATTTATATCTTCCAGCTTTCTAATCTACCCAAGGGATAAGAACCACCCTACTTATGCCACAGGAAGTTGTCATAAATTTTCCATTTTCAATGAAATGTAAACATCCAACTATATGCAAGTTGTTGTATTAGATGTGCCAGAGGACCTGCAATTCCAGATGTCTCATACCAACACAACATTGAGAGGAAGAAGAGGCATGTCAGCCTGTGTGTTTCTTTTTCAGAGAGAGGAAGTCTTTCCCAGGAGCCTCTTGAGTCCCCACATGTCTCTGGCTAGAATTAAGACAAGTGCCCATCTCTCTCTCAGCCAATCCCTGGGAAGGGAAAAGAATTACATGCGTGGTTTGAGCTAATCAGGGTTTTCCCCCTTGAGTCCCTGGATGGAAGAGAAGGGTGGACCCCAGAACAGAATGTCAGGGCTCTGACAGTAAGGACACAGGGGTACTGGAGAGGACAGCAGAAGAGTTTGTCACAGTCTTGAATGCCTTTATGGAGGTAGGCTATTATCAGGTCATGTGGGTAGAAGGGAGCCCCTCCAGGTTCAGGGAAAAGAAGTTACAGGAAATCAGTCACAGTCAACATGGCCCCAGGGATCTATAGCCAGATCCTGGTACCTGTGGGACATTCCACACATTTTCCATACTTATGATCAGAAATTGGCCATTGAGGGTGCTTTTCTCAATTTCCCTGTTCAGCTAATCTTTGCTGATACAACTTAGTAAGCATTTTACAAATTCGTAGAAAAATTTTTTCCATAAATTGATGGTTAAACATCCAAGTTCCTTAGCATGATACAACAGACGCTTTATGATCTATTCTGTATGGTCTGTCCTTAACTCTCTGCCTCATCTTCCAAACTGCCTCCGCATTTGAATGAAATCGATTTCTGCTCTCACACTTGCTGCGCTCTCCACACCTCTGTGCTGCCACATGCTGCTTCCTCTGCTCCATCTCTTCCCCTCATTCTTTTCCCTCCTCTTCCTCCGCCATCCCCTCCTCCTTTCAGACACCTGGCCAACTCCTCCTCTTCGATGCAGTTGGTGTAACCCCTTCCGGCGGGGCGGTGTGGTTTAGAGAAGCATGGGGTAGGGGAGCTTTCCTCCATTAGTCACCACCACCACCAAGAACAAACTCTTCCATAGCACCGGCTGTGTGTCTTACATTGTTCTAAGCAATTCAATATATTAACTCATTTAATCCTCACAGCGTCCCAAGGAGAGGGGCAGTACTGTTATACCCATTTAAAGATGATGAAGGTAAGGTACAGAGAAGTGACTTGCCCTGGGTCCCACTGCCGGTACGTGGCAGTTGTCATAGTACTTCTCCCTGTGGAGGATAGCTGTTTACAAGGCTGCCTGCTCCACCAGACTGTGTGCACTTGGGGACAGTGGCTGCTCTGTTCATCACTGAACTCCCCGAGGCATAACTTGGTGCTTGCTGCATACAAAGCAAGGGCCTCAGTAAACAACTGTGAAATG